CTTCCTTTTTTTTTTTTTTTTTAATTTAGACCCTACAATTGATTCTTGGGGGATCCTTGAGATTGAAATGAACTAGTCAGAACCTTTCAGACGGCGCTCCACGGCAGGCCATTATAATGCATCTGATAGGAGGAATAGGGCATCCTAAGCAAACTCCAGATTGTTTAGAATTTAAAAAAAGGGGGGGGGGTAAGAAGGGAGGTCCGAGAAAGGGTGTGTCCCAACGTTGTTTTCAGCTGTTTGGAGCGAAGTTCAGGGCGTAGGTAGCCCAGGTCTCCCGCCTCTCTGTGCCCTGCGAGGTGCAGGGTAAAAGAGCACAGGCCTTGGAGTATGAACGTGAGGCTGTGCTATTTACGAGCTGTGAGACTTTGGAAAAGTCCCTTGCTTCTGTGAGCTATAGTGTCAACTCATTAAATGAAGGGACTGGGCCTTAAGAATGTTCTGTCAATTCTGGAACGTCAGTCCAAAAATGACCGCAAAAGCGCTGTGCCTGCGATTGTACTTCTCAAGTAACTTAGTTACTGGTCCAGGCTCTGTCTGGCATCAGTTTACCTAACAAGTGGCGCGCCCGCCCACCCCCACTCCCCCCGCACCCTACAAAGTTTTTGAGAGGGTTAATCGCGAGCTTGTTGAGAGTCCTTTAGCGGACTGTGAAGCACTGCACACCACACTGTATCACAGCTCTGGTCCTCAGTTTCCTTATCTGTAAAGTGGAGGTGTTGCTAGGAAAGAAAAATAGAGCCGGGAACTCGAAGTTTTCCCGAGACTATATAAAGCGCTGGCGTTTCCGGGACGGCTGGCGGCATCTGGCTGCCCCAGTGGCCCCAAGATACGGTAATCCCAAACAATACTCGGGGTCATTGTTTACGGCTATAAAACACATTCTGTCCAGAGCTCCATCCCCAAGGACGCACAAGGCGAAGGGAGGCCAGCCAGATTCCTCGCACCTCCACTGCCGCCCACTGAGCAAACTCCACAACTCCGCAGGCCCGGAGAGGGGTGTGGGGCAGGCCGGCGCACTCAGCACCGTGGGTGCTTGATTGTGACGGGATTTTTTCTTTTCTTTTTTCTCTCTCAACCCTGCGTTCTGGCCTGCCTGGGTGTTTGTGCTCTTCTCTCAGCAGGACTGAGTAAATGCAGTCCTTTGACGCAAAACGGAGGATCAGCCCTTTCCCCCCCAGCGTTAGCAGCAAACCCCAGAAAACTGGGAGTGGCGGCCGACTTTGGGGGCGGATGCCGGAGAATCGTGACACTCCCTCACTCGCCTCTCCAGGCACTGGCGGCTGCAGTCCCGCATCCAAGGCGCAGAGAAGACAGGCCACGTGGGTCATTAGCCGCCTCAGCGAGGTCTTGTGGGGGTGCAAGGGGAGGCGCGACTCCAGTACCCAAGGTCCTGCCCGCGCAGCCGCGTGAGCAGCCGCACTTTTGGTTTTTCTTTGGGGAGCATCGTCTCTTCTGCCCTACCCCACCCTGCGCTCAAAAATATGTATCCTTCTGGGTCTTTTTCACACAGTCCTTCCAGTAATGCGGAGGAGGGTAGAGGGCGGATGGAAAGGAGCTGGAGCTCCCATCGCGGCCTCGATCACACCGGGCGCGCCCAGACCGGAGCAGGCGCCGGCGGGAGCGCGCGGGCGGACTAGTGCAGCCTCGCGCCTTTGCCCACCGCCTCCTGCGCGCGCTCCCTGGCCCTTTCCTTTCTTGTGGTTCCTGTAAAGCCCAGCAGCCCCAAAACGTCTGCAGAGCATCATGGAATCTGTGCTGATGCAAGTAGTTAGCCTCCTGTTGGTGCTCCCCGGCCTGCACTGCAGCGCTTTTATCCCAGCCTTCACCTGTGTCTTAGCTTATGCTGGCTCCCTCTGCCTGCCAGAGGCCTTCGCTCCACAGCCTGCCTCACCTCTGGTCTTGGAGCCTTAGACACCCGGAGATAAAACCTGTGCTGCCACGTGACTACTTGGTCCGACCGCTTCTGCCAAACAGAAAATTCATCCTCTAAGCCCAGCTCTCTCCCCCTCCCTCAGGAAGCATTCCTGGATCACCCAGTTAGAAAAAAGGGTTCTCATGGAAATCCACTGGCTCCCCAGAATAACAGACGTTATGAATAAAAGTTAATGTTTGCTGATCCTTTACCAGAGAATCAGGGGCCTTGTTGACTGCTTTACAGGGATTGTCTCATTTATTTCTCACAGTAATGGACAAAATGGACATTGTTCCCTAATTGTAGGCTTAGAAAATGTGACCCTGACTGGTGAGCCATATCTGAGGGCTGTTGAACCTCTGACCATAAGCTCTTCTTAACTCAGTGTACTACTACTTTATGTGCCTCCTGTTGGAACATCTGTGATTTGCTTCTACCTGTCTCTTGAAAGCATGGATTTCATCTGATCTGTGGCTTTGTTACAATTTGTGCTCATGAATTCTTGGCTGAATAAATAAGTAAATAACCATCACAGCATCATCACTGTTTAAGGATGATGTAAAGCCGGTGAAACACAGAAGGAACACTGGGCTAAGGACAGAAGGGTGACAGGCTGCCTTCTCACTGCCTCCCTGGATCTCTAGGACCTCCTTGCCTGCCTTTGCAGTTTGATCATTTGTCATTCTAGCCAATGTCTGCTCCCAGAGAATGACGAGATGACTTGACTCCCAAAGTGACTTCCATCCAAGCACTGGACATAACATGACATCCTCCTGCACCAGTGGTCTCACTTATCCCACCAGGGCCATTACACAGCAGTCAAAGTAACCATGGATGGAGGAACAGGAAAGAAAATACGCCCAAGTTTTCCCAACCCTGAACACAAACCCAGCTCACCTGACTTTAAATCCAATGTTCTGTTTAAAACCCGTGTCCCAGCCTTGAGATTAGGTGCAAACTCTGTTTCTTAATGATTAAGTGAACAAGATTCTGTTAGGGCACCTGAGTCTATCCATAGCTGGAAACTATGATCACCCCAAGAAGTAACTGAATCTAAGGTACTCCTGCTATAGTCAGAACCAACTCATAGCTGACCCTCCAGTGGATTTTCAGAAGCTATCTCTCACAAGGAATAGCTCATGGAGCCAAACCACCTGCCTTTGGGTTGCAGCTCAATTCCTCACCCACTCCACCACCAAAATATTGAAGAGCAGTCAAGTTATTCTGAAGACTAAAGTGCACCCGATTCAGGCTATGGTGTTCTCAATCACTTGCTATGTATCTGAAAGCTGGGCAATCATTAAGGATAATAGGAGAATAATAGATATCCTTGAGTTGTGGTGTTGGAGAAGAGTATTAAATATCCCACGGACTGGCAAAAGAACAAACGTGGAAAGTATGTCTTTGAAAAAAAAATGCAGCCAGAGAGCTCCTTGGAAGCAAAGACAGGACAGTGTGCTTCATCTCTCATACTAAAAGGACAACGTGCTTGGAAAGGTGGAGGGTCAAAAAAAGAG